TAGTAGTGGTAGAGTTAATTTTGTGATCGGTAGAGTTATTGATGGTTCGCTATCGTAGACTTATTTACGATTCACGCAATCGTAAACTTATTTATAGTACTAGTAGATTTATAACATGTGGTAGACTTATTTATAGTCGTGGTAGAGTAAATTTTGTGATCGGTAGACTTATTGATAATTCGCGCAGTCATAGACTTATTTATAGTAGTGGTAGATTTAATTTTGTGATCGGTAGACTTATCAATGGTTCGCGCAATCGTAGACTTATTTATAGTAGTGGTAGACTTATTTATAGTAGTGGTAGAGTTATTCAATATTTTTAGCTCTTTACAACCTTTAGTTGATAGACTTATTTATAGTGTTGGTAGATATTTATAATAGTAGTAGATTTATTTAAAGTAGTGGTAGATTTATAATATGTGGTAAACTTATTTATAGTCATGGTAGTGGTAGATTTATAATATGTGATAAACTTATTTGTAGTAGTGGTAGATTTATAAATATGTAGTAGACTTATTTATAGTAGTGGTAGAGTTATTCAATAAAGGGTAATATCGTAATCTACAGTTCATCTTCTCCACACAACCAAGTTTCTATCAAACCTTAACAATGGCCGCCAACAACTTTTTAGCTCGTTTTTACTATATTTTAACTTGTTTTCAACTGGATTCAGGCTAAAACTAGTAGATCTAACATCATATATCCATTTTCTAACCAAAAATCAAAAGATTTCAAGTTTTTTTTTTAGCTTGTGATTTTTAGTCCTATTTTATCTAAATCCGGCAGCACACCTCCGCCGAACGCGTCTCCGGTGCTTCCGCAGCCTCTGCGGCCGCAGTTTCAAATAATTTGTGATTTTTTTTCTAAATTTTATCTAGAACGACATTTCATAATAAAAATTTTATCTAGAACGAGTCTAAGCCAAGATGAAAGCAAAGATGCAGAAAAATGGTTAGAAGTTGGGTACTTGTTGATGCCTTTTCCACCGATGGATCGAGCTTAAAATTTGTCACATGCTAGGGAATCGAGTTAGATTTCATTTGAAAGAAATTTGAGGTCATTCTAACGGTGCGATCAAAAGTTATGAAAGGTTTAGTGAAGATAGGTCTGTCTGGCGAGCAAAAGAAGCAAGTGCAGAACATAGCACCA